CCACAAAAAAGTGCATAGCGTTCCTAAAGAAGTTTCAACTTCGAAAAATCAACTTTAAGCTAACTCATTTCTCATGGAAGCGAAACTGTACCATGCTGAGTTATGAATCTACTCTGTGCCCTAATCGATTAAGGATGCGTTTCCTTACGCATAACAACTCTAGAGAGCAACTGGACTTCACACAGTGAGTGAGAACTGTTCCCATGAGCGGTTAGGTAAGTGAGTTACAAAAGATTGGTTACAATTAATAAGTCGTTGAATCCACGGTGAGTTATGTAAGTGTGGAGCCGATGTGGGTTAGTGCTTCACTCCTCGACTCCATATGATTAATGTTCCTTAGCAGATAGTGATCGTTCGGCCTCAACAGTTTCCTCTTATCTCTTATCGCTTATTAAATCTCAGTTTTAAATGAGCATTTAAGTCTCTCTATTCATTAGCAAGCACGTCTTGTCTTGATGGATGAACCCGAGACTCGCGAGGAAGGAGAAAGAAATAATACAAGAGGGCAATTAACGATTTGTATTCTATTCAATGTTTTTATTGCTTTATGGTAACTTAAGGGACAGGCTCACTCAGCATGATGGAAATATATTAGGTGTTAATTTAAAATTTTTCAAATCAATTTTTAAATATGAAAAAAAATGTATTAGTAGTCATTGTAGCTAGAAAACTGGTTATAATTAAAATAAAATATTTTTCAATGTATCTGTTGGGAGACTTAGCTAAAATTTGAATCTTATCTGATGTGATAAAGCAACCTTCTTTTTTTAAGGATTTATTTTTTATTTCATTCACTATTTTTTATTTTAGTTTGACTTTTGAAAAATGCCATCGGTGCCTGAAAGGCATTCAAATTAGAAACAGAAAATCATATTTACTCTTGGACTAGGTCCCTTATTAATAATAATATTGTTCATATAATAAATCTGACCAGATGACCATTACAATAAAGAATACCTAAATTCTAAGTAAAAAAATAAGTATATACATAATTTTTGAGGATATATTAACGAAAACTGGTGGGTTACAATATTACTATATTGGAGCAAAAAATAAAAACATACAAATAACTAAATGAAGAAACGCTAAATAACTTTTATAGTCAAACCATTGTAGTGATAATATATTAAAAAAATAACAGGAGTAAATAAATTATTTATATCTGTTCCTTAAGTATATTAAGTGAAAAAACATAAAGATATTGTGAAAAACTAGACAAGTATTGTGATTGTGATCTACCTATGAAGCGACAGTTTTTGAGGAGAATATATATATATATATATATATATATATATATATATATATAATGTATTGAGAGGAGTGTGTAGAACATAAGTATAAAATAAAATACTTTTAAATAAAATAAAATACATTTCAAAAAAATACAATCTTATGAATAGAAAAACTAGTTAAGAAAAAAAAATTATACTTACAATGGTTTGTTTGTTGTTTGTTGGGATTGAAATTCTGTTTCATACTCTAAACAGAAGAAAAAGAGTATATAAAGAAAATTAAAACCTTGTTACGTAATAAATACTTTGCACGCGGATGATTGAATTGTGAAGAGAAATTGGTATAACAGGGTTTTGAATGTGGATAAGGATGGTGCATGGCGGAATTTTAGTAGGACAGAATTCCAGAATGCAGTGGAACGGACAACAAAGGAATGTTTAAATGTAGAGAGGGGTGTAAAGGTCAGAAGGACGTGATGTTGTGGAGAGGGTGTGGATTGATGACTTGAATAGTAGGAGATTGTATTCGTAGGACGGACGATGATTATTGGCTATTTGGTAAAAGAATCTGCCTAGGAAATATTATTTCCTTCGGAAGGAGGGTAAGAGGCGCCCTAACTCTGCATAGTGTTGAGAAACAATTGAACTTCTCGGGGTTCCAGTGACAAATCTTAAGAAGTCATTCGTAATTCTTTTCAGTCTGTCCTCAAGTTTCGCTGAGAGGCCACCGTACACCACGCAGCTGTGATCAAAGATGAAGAAAGATACTAGGAGTCTACCTGTGGGGATAGGTAGGAGATGACGGAAGCGATGGAATAGTTTCAAGGTACCATTTGACCATCTGGAGATGTGAGCAATATGGTGATTCCAGGAGAGGATTTGATCTATGAAAACACCTAGGTTTTTTACTGAGGAGCTGATTGCGATGCTATGGTCATTTAGTTATAGGATAGGAATGTTGGTATTGGGTCTGAGAATTGGTTTGGAACCAATGACAATGGTTTGATTTTTGGCAGCGTTTAATCATAATTCATTCAAGTTTGCCCAGGAAGTGATCCAATTTAGGTCTTCTTGAATTTTGGCAAACGCATCATGCAACTCTGAGGGATAGAAGGAATAATAAATTTGGAAATCATCGGCATAGAGGTGATGGGAACAGTGAAGGATTGATTTATGAAGGTCGTTGATGTAGGAACTAAAAAGAAGAGGCGACATGCTAGAGCCCTGTGCCACTCCTGAGGTCAGAGTAAGATAGGAAGACAAAGGTTGATTGAGAATATCGACTGCTTCGGTGCTTTGAGAAAGAAAAGGTTGAAACTTGCGTTGCATATTTGATTATATAGTTACCAAATATTGTATTGCTACCTCATGCCCTGTTTTATTTTTCTTCTCTACAGACTGGCAATTAAAAATAAATATTTGAATGCAGAAAGACATGAAAAGTTCATTTTAAAAACATTGAATAGCATTTTTAATTAAATTGTTTTGATCAAAATTACTGATAATTAAATTTTACTTATTCATTTGAAATTCAATTAATCTATATTTTATTCATTATTGGCTCGAGCTAGTGTGAGAAGCATTCCCTCTTTTCAACAAATCTGTTTTCAATGAAGATATTTTGGAGCCTTGGGCCTAATTAATATAATACGTAATACAACTGGAAACGGAGCTTAGGGCACCTGGTCCAATAAATCTGTTAATCAACAAAAAGTATGACATTCTCTCTATATCCGCTCTGACATGTCCAATTCTCTTATTCCTCTTCACTTGAATAAATAACGATATTATCATAATATATATTTTTTAATTCATATAATATTCATTGTATATTTTATTGTATATATTTTTTTTTTCTTTCTAAGGTCCAGTTTCCTTTCTTTCTTTTTTAATGTGGTAAATCAAGAGTTACAAAAACTATTTTAGAATTAAGCATTAGGTACAACTTTTTAGAAGAATTTAAATTATTTTTATGTTCGCATTAGAAACTTACTTTTTGTATTTTGTTTAATTTTTTTTTTATAGTAACAGTATCACATTCCAATCCTCAATACTCGTTCTCTCGAATAATCACTATTAACGCTTTCATCCTCTATCCACTGCTTCGGAGCCTTTCCAATTCTTCGTTCGTACTCTGGAATATACTTAACATTCGTAGAAGCTAACTCGGTTCATCCATTCTCATAACGTCCCCGGAAAATATTCATTTTATTTTTGTTGATGTCATTAAAACTAGCCTCTACTCTAGTTCTTATTTCTTTATTGGGAACTTTCTACAATCTAGATATAAAATCCAGAATTTTATAGCTTTGGCCAATAATATTTTTACAAAGGTCTCTGATCCATGAATTTTAAAGAGGAATCAGTATATATATATATATATATATATATATATATATATATATATATATATATATATATATATTATATAGATAGAATCTGGGGTAGCCGTACGGACTAAGGTGCTTGCAATAGGTAACCAAGTTAAGCAACGCCGAGCGTGTATTTTCTTGTATGTTTGCAATGTTTAAATTAAAGGAATGGCGAGGGGGAAGTTATTTTCTGAAAGACTACAATTTTAGAATCTTCCAATAATAACCTAATCATATTTTTAAAATAATTTTATTCTTTAATAAACTCTGGATATGTCTAGTGGTATCCACAAAGGGGATAAGAACGGTTTAAATTTGAGATTTTTTTTTATATTCACGCACTATTAATTAAAACAAAGCACCTTATATTAACAAAAAATATCTTTGAGGGTGATATATTTTTGTACCTTTTCAGTATAAGCGTTGTATGACAAAATGACGTATGTCGTTGGAAATAGTTCCCCGTGTTTGGGGTTAGAATTTCTATGGCCTGTTTCTATAAAAAAAAAACAAAAAAAAAAAAAAAACGAAAAACGATTAAAGTAAGTGTAGTTAGAATAATTAACTGTTACAGTTCTAAAAAAAATAATTTTTTTTTTTAACTTGACACATATTCTTTATTATACTTAGAAGTGATAAAGAGAAATAAATATTTAAAAAACATAATGAATCTTGACACTTTATTTTTCTTCTAATATTATTTTGATAAATATAACAATAAATTGAATACGAATAAAAAAACCAAATAATAATATTTTTGTCATGAAAATTTGAAAATTAGATCTTTGGATTCGTCTTCATTTATAATGACTGACTGATATAAAGACAACTGGAAAACTGAGAAACACATCACTAAACAATGTTTTAAATCAATTTAAGGCATTACCAAAATAGAATAATTAATTTTTTTTCTTTGAAAAATAATTATCTTTATAATGTTTCGAATTATAAAACTAAATGTTCAATGAAGAAAAACAATATTAACGCACGGTGAGTATAAATTCATGTGATAATAGTTCCCTCTACAAGTGGAATGAAATTTGAATAATGTTTGAAAATTTTCCAATATTTCCATTTAGCTCACAAAATAAACTTTCATTTATTCACGAAAGGACTTTTGTTAGCACCACATCAAACGATAAGGTAATCGATTTTAGGAGATGTAGTACTAGATATTTTAACATCATAATAAATATACTCAAGAAAGAAAAATATTTTTTATTTTTTGTCTTCATAGAATTGATCGATTAAAATTTTTGTAGAAACAAAAACTAGTATACTATTATCTATACCTGTATTAGTTAAAAAGGAAAAAAAATCACTGTGAATGTTTGAGAAACTAAATTCTCATTTGTCCTATTTTTAGTTAAGTATTCAAGTTGAAGGTTGGTTACGTATGTCTGAGCTATCCATTGTGCTTGGACACCATACCGATACTGAGGTAGGCTACCCAAGCATAAACACGGATGGTATCATCCCTTTGACGCTGAGCTCATTACCACAACTGACACACACAACTCCCTTTGGAGCACAACTAACCGGCAGGTATAGCAGACCATAGCGCTCCGGCCAACCCGTTAGGACCCAATACACACAGAAATGTATTAGCATACAATGAATTATGTATTATCTATTTAGCGTGCGCTAGGCGTGTCCTCAAGCACCCATCAGTCTCTGTCGCCTTCTTGACGTGTTTCGGTGTTGGGAGGTGGGCTTCCTCTAGGTCAGGGGGTTCTTGATCCGAACGACTGGAGGCTCAACGATGGTTATATTCAAGGTCCAGAATTTATATACAGCAAAACTTTACTGAATATGTCATGTAATATGCAATAAAAACATAAAATATGCACTAAAAAAAACATTAAAAAATATTTAGCAAAGATTCAGCATATACGCATCAAGTTATAAATAAGAAATATTTAATTAAATTAATGTTCCTACAGTAAGAAAAAAAGAAATTGGATGTAGGATTAAAAATTAAAGAAAAATGATTTCAATTTTATTTTTTGTTTACTTTCCTTTATAAATGAAAATAACCTAAACATAAATGAGACATATTTCTATCAAAATAATACTAAGAAACTAAATGATTAAATATATGCAATGTACTTTTTTCCCGCTTTGAGTAGGTATCCACACCTGTCTTGGTATTGAGAATTAGCAGGTGTGTTGTGATAAAATAAGAATATACATTATAGGCATGAGGAAGGATAATATCCAGCAGCACCTCTTCCTGGTCATCATTTAGGTGAGGAGATCTCTCATCCAGATCGGTTTTAGTCTCCTCATGATGGGCATGCCATTCGTGGCTATGTCATTTATAATAAGTCTGTTTGTGTGCCCGTGCAGTTTGATATGAAGACGAGAGTAGAGAGTATGTGTTTGTCTATAGTTGGTTGTCATAAGTCGTTATTATTATTTTATTATTATTTCTCGTTAAGAGAGAATTTTAGGGACATAACCGAATTTTTATACGATATGTGTTACCATTATGATTATATGTGATGATATTCCCAGCTTCCTTATTGATCTCATAAAAACTCCGTCAGGACCGGGAGAAGAGTCCATAGATATGCTCGGTATTGCCTTATGAACAACTCTAAGCTGTACAGTTAGATCTTAAATGTGCTTCGATCTTTTTATTTTTAATGGAGCATTTTTTTGAGCTATCTGTATTCACGATACTTAGAGAAACTTGTTTCTGCGATTGTAGTGATTATATTAGGTCAGGTCATATTCGAACAGTTCCAGCCTTGTTCGTTCTCTGAGGGTTTTCGCTCCCGTTTACTCTTCATTTCCATATTTTTCCCTCTCCGCATTTGATAAAATCTAATAGCTTGGTGTTTTTGACCAGGAAGCGTTTTATTCGCCTCTTTAAGAAAAAGGGAAACTGAGCTTCTGTGATCTGTGATCTTGATATTTATTTAGTTTATGGGATTAACTGGATAAATCGATGTGGCTTCGAGAGTGGGCACGTCTCTTGCCAATTTTCCTATTTCACCATTTCCAATACTTACCGTCTTGATTAATCCGAGTGTTTAACCACTTATTTCTTCTCTTCCTTATTAATAATGCATTTACATTAAAATTTTATTATAGTATGTATAGTTAACGAATCGGAGGCAGTGGAGACTTTATAAATAATGGTTTTATTCATAATGTTACAAATGGCATCTAAAATACAGAGTAATATAATATGGATATATGAGTTGACTACATCAGTTCACTCCAGGTCTCCTACAGTAAAGAGTATGACTCAAGAATGCAACTGCATGAGTGATTTGGTCTGAGGATCATAGAAGTTATATGCTCAGGAAAAGTAGGGGGGATGAATCAATTCTGGGCGGTCTTGGAAGCGTGTGAATGAAGTTATCAACTATTAAGAATTGATATCCTTATCTTTTAGAATTGATATGAAGTCTGTGAGGAAGTGCTCTTTTGCTGAAAAGGGTTATTGTTCCCTAAGTCTTGATAAGTGCCTTCTGTCCAGTCGGTACATTCTAGATAACTATTTCTAAGCTATCAGAGATAGCTTGATCTGGCTATCTAGGGCTTTGTGATTTTAAGATTGGCATATTAAATATTAAGTTATATATAATTGGTAATTGGTTGACTGTCGTGGATAATGAAGAGAAGAATAGTTGGGGTGCTCAGTCAAAAAAGGAAGGCAAAAATAAATTATAATATTTATTTTTATTTTATTTTATTTTATTTTTATTTTTTTTTTTATTTATTTTTTTTTTTTACATCTGCCGACGTTTCGACCTGAAGTTCAAGTTTTTGACTGAGCACCCCAACTATTCTTCTCTTCATTAAGTTATATATTAATAGAAGTTAAATTAATATTATCATTATTAATATTTGTTATGGATTAAGTACATTCCATAACTTATGATACTTATTTATCAAATTTATATAAATTACTTTCAACTATACCATACCAAAATAATATATACCAAATATGTTAAATGTTTTCTAAATAGTGGATTCGTTGGATTCCATTATTGCTGGAATTCACAGACACAGGAGTAAAGCTGGTAGTATTTTCCATTGCCGAGATTAGTAGACACCACATACTACCTCCTGTTGGCCGACTCCTGCATATTTAGACCGAACGCAGGCTCAGCCACTGGTACTAGTATATTATTACCAAAGGGGAACCACAGCACTCACCTTAACAACGATCCCTTTCGGCCACAGACAGATATTTATGCATTACACACGGCCTCCGTGATCCGCTCGGCATAATTCAACCAAGCTATAAACTCTCGGCTAACACCTAGCTCCGATATAAAACGGTCCGGATCTTTACAACGCTTCTAGTTCCAGCTATAAAATTTTAAATCTCGGATGTGGTCACATATAAATTATTGTGAATGATGAAAATATTTTTTAAAACCTACTACGAAGTTTTATAATATTATTATAAAACCTGTTCATACAAGTCTTATAACTTGTAGGCCTCCCCTAATTAAGGAGGTATTATGGGCTAACTTACCGCGGAGACCAACCGTATTAGGAAGTAGAGCCGGGATTCGATCTTATGATCTTTTCTTTACTAGTATAGCACGCTAACCGGTCCCCTTTATATATATATATATATATATATATATATATATATATATATATATATATATATAAATTGGTTATAAACTGTGTTTTTTACCCAGATCTCTACTAATTGACAAAATAAATGTGCCTGAATCTATTATTAACGTTTCCATTAAAAATAATTAAAGGAATCTGTAGTTTTTTTTTTTCTATTTTAAACGCTAATTTCAGGATGAGAAACTTTCATTTGGTCACACACAAGTACAGATAAATTCGAATACCTAATGTATTTTTTCTCTTTTTTTTTTTTGAAAACATGTGCCCTTAATAATTTGTAAACGTAAGTTGTCATATTGTTATTTGTAAAGTTGTTATATGCGTTCCAAAAAGTCAAAAATCAGTCAAAGGACTGCTGAAATTATTTCTATAGGATAAGGAGGTTTAGCTGATTCAACCATGACATGAGCTTGGACAATAAAACATTGTATAGCTGAGCGGTCAGTTTGGCGAATGGCAGAGATAATTCAGCGACCAACGAATAAAACCACATTCGGACCTTGATGAGGTCATCAGCCTCATAGAGGATTTCTTCGGCCCATGTCTTCCTCCTACCCGCTGGCCTTAATGCCTCAGGACCACTATTGTGCCCAAGTTCCTCGGGAGTGAGTCGGTTTGACGGATCGTTAGTTCTCCGGCCACCGGCAGTAATTATCTAACAGTCCAGATCTAGAGATAGGAAAAACATTTGTTAGAGCTATAAGTCTTTGATGTAACTGATGTTGCCCCAACGTAGATTAATCAAAATCATATCGCATTTTCTACAATCAAATTATGTTTAAATTTACATTCTAAATTAAAAAACACACTTATGAGATAAAACCCTGTTCGGTACCGTTCTCTGATGGAGGGAGTGTTAGATAAACTGTTTAGCATGGTTGTTTGAAAGACTAGAATATTTGAAATCTTTCTAGTATAAGGTTTGATCAAATATTTAAAATTTATTTCAAAGGATATATGGAGTTGATTTCAGAAGAAGTTTAATAGACTTTTTTTTAATAATTATCTAATATATTTAGTCAGGATTTCCAGTCAAAATGTTTTTTATTCTAGTTGACGGTAAGTAAATACGGTATAACAGTCCATTGTACAGACCTCTCTTTATCAAATTATTAACATCCGCCTGGAACTTTGTAAATAGCTCCATCTCATCGTAGCCTACAACTACTTTATTTTCGAAAATTGTTGAAATTGGGGTGTTTTCAATCTGGAGGTCGGCAAACTTTGTCTATTTAATTATATACTAAAAACTCGTATATAGCCATTTGCTTTCCACTTGGATCGTAAGATAATTTGATCACAAAATCAAGAAAAAAGATTGACTATAAAAATATTGGGCAATTTGGCCTATTAAACCTCGTTATTTTGACATTTTGGGGGTTTAGGTCACGCCAAATAGCTTGATATTTTTGAAAGCCACATTTTTTCTCGAGTTTTTGCTCAAATTATCTTATAATTCAAGTGGAAAGCAAATGCGTATTTATGAGTTTTTAGTACTTAATTAAAATAAACAATGTTTGATGATCTTCAATTTGAAAACAACTATTCTGAGAATTTTCGTAAATAAAATATTTGTAGGTTTCAATGAGATAAAACTATTTACAAAAATCAGCAGATATTAACATTGGGTTGGCAAATAAGTCCTTTCGGTTTTTTCTGTTGTTTTTTGTATGTCACTGTGATACACTTCTTATCTGATGAATATATCCCTAAGACAGATTGTTTATCCTATTCGTAATATGTCAACGACTATATCTGTTAACTATTGTTGAAACTAGCTTAGTATTGTGTTTGCTATTGCACTGTCAATATAGAAGAAAATATTATTCATTATCGGCATATTTTGTTGTATTATTTTAAAAAAGTTAAGCGTAATGCAGAAGCTCATAGAAAATTTTGCAGTGTTTATGGAGATGATGCCTTAACCGAACGCACCTGTCAAAATTTATTTGCCAAATTTCATTTAAGAAATGTTGACATCAATGGTGCTCAACGGTCTGGTCGCCCACATAAAATTGAAACGAGCAATGTTAAGCCATTGTTGATCAAAGTCCCCACCCAATCAGTTGATTCCACCAATAACAAATATATAACATTATAAAGCACTCACAAATTACAAAAATAAAAGTGATTAGGCCATAAAATTAAAAAAAATATATTTCATTAAGATTACATAGTAAAATGTCGTATCTTTGCTAATGCTTCATCAACTCATGATTTATAATCATGGTACCGATTTTAATTACACAGCAAAATAAAGCAATGAAATCGAACCGTTGAATTTAGTACACATTTTTGTCTTATTGTTTTCAATGATGAACCGTTATAATCTACTGAGAAAAAAAAAATATTCCGGTCTCTCATAATATATAGCATTTACACTTATTTTTATGCTATGTTTTAATTTGTTCACTGGCTATAGTATAGTATACAAATTATCATCACCGCCTAGGTTAATATATAAAACTAATACTAGGAAAATGTAGAATATATGACGGACAAACTGAGAACTACAATTCCACAAAGAAGGGTGTTTTTCTTTTTAATTTTCGTTCCACTAATGCTGCAGTAGAAATGGGACAGTCTTGGCAAAAAGCTTTTGTTTGACTTGAAGATAATATCTCAGCCTGTCTCCCTCTCTCTCTCTCTCTCTTCCTCATCTCTACGACTATTTTATATTTCTTTGTTATCACTTTTTCCTGTTTTGCTTCTGTTTCCCCTGAGTGTTTCAGCGTACGTGTGCGCGCGCACAGGTATATAAACACGCATACATGAATCGGTAAGACATTGTTAGTAATTATTAATTATTATTTATTAATTAGTAGGAACAAGGTAAGTCTTAATTTTATAAAAAAAATATTTTAATGCGTTTTTATATAATTTAAAATGAAAATAAACTGTGGTTTTTGAAAAAAAATCAAAGTAGACAGGAGTTTTTTATTTTATTACTATGGAGGTGAAAAAAAACATTAAAATAATATTTTA